AAGAGACAGAGAAAAATGAAGATGAATAAGAAATATTTCTGGATGTTTGCAGTGAGGAAATTTACGTCAATAAAACAGACGAATAAATGAGACGACAACCCCGTTTTTTTCACAGCTAATAGAAAAACGTAGTTCCGCTGATGAAATAATAATAGTAATTTCGTCCATTATCGTTATCCTTCGTCGAGAATTTATCAACCTTCGGCTACCCACACCGACAACGAGTTTCACGTTCCTCAAGGACGTATTACGTGAAAACTTCGATCGCGTTATTGCTAGTCGCATTAACGAACTAGAAAGTCAGCCAGTTACGTAGCGGCAGATTCGTAAGGCAAACGCGGATAGGGTTTTCTCTTGTTGGATCTGACATCACAGACGATCGCGAAAACGAGAAATCACCTCTGAAAACATCGGCGAGAGATCGTTCCGCTGAAAGCGAACTTTGTCGGGTCTGTCTGGCAAGCCCGCATTTCCTGACAAAAGTCGTCACGTACACGAACCCGCGACCGAGAGTTTGTTCATCGGCACTCCGTAACATCTGGATTGGATATTAATTTCCACTCAATATATTGGGTTGTCTAATAAATTAAAAATGTTAAAGCCGTCTTTTATTAATTTAAAAAGTAACTTTTTTCAAGAAAAAAAAATAAATTCATCAATAATGTATTCGCCACCCCGTGATTCACACGCAGTCTCTTATACAACGCTCCAATACAGCAGTCATACTTATTGAACAATATAATTAATCTCAATAATCATGAGATTTGTAATCTCTATGATGTTTCCAAGGTGCGCGGAAGATATTTTGCACAACGTCTTGCACATAAAACTATTAGCCAGAAGATCAATAGAGATCTCGACGAGAAAACAATGGAAACAAGAGTGTTCATTAAATAACTATTGACTTTCACCGTTTCCTCCTTGACACCTCGTCTCCTGCTCTACTGAGATCTCTCGATGAACAAAATACCGGCGCGACGATCACGGGCCGCGCGATTTTTTTTCTGCGGGACGAGACGCACTTTGCGGATCGAGAGGCAATCGTCTCGAGAGGTCCTCGCGTTAAAATTCCGAGTGCGGAAGGGCTCGGGGAGGGAAAGTTCACGCGGTCGATCCTAGCCGGAGGCTTAATAACCGCGGGATTTCTGCGCGACGACCCCTCGGCGCGAGAATGGGAACGCACGGTCGATGCGAGCGCGATCTCGTTTTGCCCCAACGAAAATCGCAGGAATGCGACGGGAGCCAGCCGATTGGCGGCCGGCCGTTAACCAAAGACGCGACAGCGGAGACCGTTCAGCAACCGTTAGACAATCGGAGATCCCATCGTTGCGAAAGCCTCAAGGACCACCATGGAGTATATCACAAGGAGCTTCTTTACGCAACGATCGACCTGTCCTGTCTCTCTTTCTCTCTCCTCCTCCCTCTCTCTCTCTCTTTCTCTTCCTCTTTCTCTCTCTCTCTTTCTCACTCTCTCACTCTCTCTTCCTCTGGCACTCTTCCTCTCTCAAAGCCGAGTACGTGCGGAAAATTCGCGCGACGCTGCCGAAAAGTCGGCGGTACATACGGTGTGCAAAAAGCGCAACGAATCGTGATCGTGTGAGACGTCGATGGAATCTCGGGGTCGCAACCAAATATCCCGTCGATTCCCCAAGTGGCTACCGCCGCGCGCTACACGCTAAGTCGATGCTCGCAAGACGATACGTGAGAATCTTTATCAGCGAAGTGCGAAGTCGAATTGTGAGACTTGTTAACCCACTCGTATCGTTGCTCCCATTTACAAACAGCTTATGTCACGCTTACATCATATAGACGCTTATGTCACGTAGCCGATAAAGCGAGACGTTCTCGCCATGTGGATAAGAGATACGAATGGATTAAGATTCGAAAACTCAGGTCGGATCCTGCGCGAACAATCACGAGGGATGAATCAAAAAGAAAGACTCAGAAAAGTAGGCTACACCTAATTATTAATCTCCCTTGTGTGTGTGCGGTCACTGACATTCCGGAAAGAACTTGGCTTTCCTTAGGACTAATGACAGTTGTTCACAGTTTTAGTTATGAAGTTTTCTCTTGGAACCATAGAGGCCAGGCCGAAAGTTCAACTGCAATGCCGGTCACAAGAAAAACTAAGTTTTCTTTCTGGAGTGTCTATGACTAAGGGAATGCCAATAATTGGGTGTTTCATTGTATGCGAGTCTGGTAGTTCACGCGACATCGTCAAGTGTCTGCGAGTGTGTCTGTGAAAGTGCATGTGAGGTCGAATCTACCGGTGTCGTTGAATTGTAAGCATTCGTATATATTTTCGTCACTACACAATGGCAAAACTAGACGCGTCGATATATCGTCGAAGCTATTTCCAAGAGGCTCGAGCGAGATCGGACATCAGCTCCGAGCACTTTCGAATATCCCCGTTCAGGTTCGACGCCAACGAATTGGCACGAGTTTGGCTGCGTACCACGCAAGGAGAATCAGTACGAATCTATTTTCCCTCAAATTATTAATCGATAGCAATGAAATGGTACTACGACATCGGGTATCAAGTGAGTCCAATGACGTCGCGACATATCATATCGACCCTGTTACCAAAATATCGGGAGAAATCTCTGTGAGAGAACACTATTCGAAACATCGCGGTCCACCACCTGTGCCAGCAATTCTTACGGTGGGGCCCCGATACTCCGAATTCGAGAGTCGACCGACGAGCGCAGGTCTCTCGCAAAGTCGAAAAGTCTGTTATCAATGACGAGCACCCAGATTCTGATGACTTCGAACACCAATAAGATACGTCTAACTGCAAGATGACGTTTCTCTGTGTATGTGTATATACGTGTAAAAGGTTATCTGAACAAAAAAACTGTAAACTAATCAAACACTAACCGTTACATACAGTGGTACTGTAAATTCGAATTAGCAAATGAGTTCATTCCGCCTCGACTTGCGATCATATACAACACGATTCATCTTCCGACTATATTAATTGCAATCTCATCGATCTTATCACTTGTCGACGATACTTGCGATCCACTGTCGAACTTAAAACTACTAAAAAACGCCGACTCCAAGATCAAAGCTCATGCGTGTCTTAGATCTCATCGGATGACAACGCGCATACCTACGCAATAAAGTGGGTCACCGAGAAAATAATAGATCATGTGCGTGTCATGTGCGCATTCCTACGCGGATAAACACCGTCCAAAAGGCATCATCAAAATCCGAGTGTCTCGCCTATGAGCGCCCCCACGATGGAAGATAAATCGACGAGCGAGGAAAACACGTGAGAAAAGCGACTCTCCGGACGTAGGACGACATCGCGACGTTGATCGACTTCTCGCAAACGTTCTCGCGTGTCGGCGACGCCCACAGCTAGAGTGACCAACCGACCCGAATCTTTTCGGCTCTTTATAGAGCCGTGCTGACAGTATACCTTAGGCGGGACCTTAGGATCATTTGCCTCGATTTATTATATCTGCATAAAGTAAAGTAAATAATATAAAATTATATTATTACGCATTATTTGTGAGATCAGAGAAAAGTGCAGTTGATTCTTCATTATTTTTACGCCCCGTGGATTATTGTTCATTTTATTTTAAAATTTTTATTAGTCCAGTTTTAAACTCTAATGATATATATTAAAAACAAAAAATAATAGAAGGCTATGTTCTGTTGATTGTTTGATGTTAGCCCAATAATGAATAAACATTTTGTTTACCTATGTACGATCTACTTTAAAAATCAATATATCGAAATATATCTATATATGTATAATAACTAAAAACATCGAAAAAAAGGTATATTTCTAACTATAATTATACAAAGAAATAGTTACTATAAACTATATTCAAAAAACTATTTTTACTCGATTCTACTATGATATAAGTAATAGCCTTACCATATGTATGTTGCTACTACCATTTTATTACAAAAAATATAGTTAGGACCAAAAATAATTATAATCTTAAATCAACTCTTTTTTCCCTCAGGGAAGGGACAAGTTAAGACTGCTGACTGCTCGCCACGGCTATCTTGATTTATGACTTCAGAGGCAAGGAAATGCATGCCCTGCAAATTCCTACAGAGTATATCAAAATAAAAAGATATATCCAAAAAATGACGCAATCGATTAAGCACACCACTAATTACTCCGGACACTTTCGTTTTGCTATAATAACCAATAAATAACCATAAAATTAACGCGACAAAATAACGAATAAGGAAATATAGGAAAAAAGGTAAAAAGGAAGGTTGCGTGTCAATTATTAATCGGTTACTTATTGATTGTCGGAGCATTTTAGAGATGTGCTTAATCGATCGCGAGCGTCACCTTTTGGGTGTATCTTTTTATTTCGACGTATTTCGCAGGCGTTTCGGCTGTGCACTTCCTCGCTTCTGACGTCATCAATAAAGAGTTCCGCAGCAAGTAGCCAGAAGCCTCAATATTACAAGATATTTCGTAATGTAAACTAATAAAAAAAAACTCCGATCTTTTTGTTTATGTGACTCTTTAAGGTCGATATCTCGAAATTGGCCGATTGAGAGTTGGTCACTCTACTCAAAGCCAGCCAGTCAGCCAACAGCAGGCAGGCAGGCAGGCAGACAGACAGACGGCGGGCGAGCCGACACCTAAACGCGCACTTAGACATTCCAGTTTGCACGTAGATCGCGTCGTCGCCCATTGACAAACACACGCTGCAACGCAGCCGGGCGCATCGCGCGCTAATTGCCGGCGAGATAAGGCGAGATAAGCCTGCGCTTTCGGGAAAGACGAGCGTCGTCGCGCCGACGGCGATGTTATTCTTTCTCTTTCGCGCCGGCAAAATTGAAACCGCGTATCGTCTCGTCGGATAACCACCACCATCACCACGATAACGTTCAGACTTCAACGAAGCCCGAGGTTTATATTTGTTTTTCTGAGAAGCGGCCGACAATCGCGGTATATCGCGCGTGTGTCCCCGAAATTGTTACACCACGCGGCGGGAATGATGAGATGATTGGGTACTCACGGTGGTGCGTGGGATAATTGTTGTTGTTGTTGTTGTTGTTCGACAGGAGCCGGTAATCCATGCTGCTGGATGCCGATGATAAGCCGTGACAAAACGTCCCCCCGTTGACTTTCGCCTCGAGTTCGCACTGCTACGCTCACACGCGCGTTCCCGCACGATGTGCTGGTGGCGAATACGTCCGTCACGAATACGGCGCAGTTCGCGGGAACCAGGACGTCACCGCACCAAATACAACGCGATACCGCGAGCAGTTTTTGTCATCCGCATCGTTTCGCGAAGGTCGTCGACTCGTACGCGCGCATCTCCCGCGGCGTTGTGGAACGGCCGATTCGCCGCCGGTGTGTCGAACGAAAGCGCGGTAATTTTCGATCTATCTCGACCGGGGTCTACTTATGATCCAGAGACGACCAGCTCTCTCGCTGCGTTTCGCTGCGGCTGCAGGCTCGCGACTGCGGATGTCACACAGAGATATCGTCGATTACTGATCGTCGTTCACGCGGAGGTAACGCATTGCGTAAGAGATAACGGATCCCTCGGTGATCGCGAATGGGAGGACGCACGTAGATCCCGCGCCAAGACAATAAAGCGCGCCGCGGTAACGGCGAAATCTAATCGCGGCCGATTACTGCGTCGCAGTAGCTCCGGATGAGCCGATTGAAACTCGGCCCGACGAAAAGATCGGCGCGATACACATGCTCGCGAGGTGACTCGCGGGTGAGAGGGACGTGAGAGAAAGTATGTAGTAGGGATCCCGGCAGGCAAGTAACGGCGAGCTCGTGTAAAATGTCAACTTCGCGACTAACTCGAAAATAATGCATCAGGGTCGCGTATTATTCTGCCCGCGCTCTCGTTAGGAGCGAATCGAATTATCGGAGCGGTCGATCTCGGATTCACGCTAAGTGAATATTTCACCAAATCGGAACGATTGTTATCGCGATGACGTGGGCAAGCCTACGGGTCTAGATGGCCACGGAGTCACGTTGCTCGTGTACTTTTTTTAGTATTTATCTTCAGATAAAAAACAGTGGACAAAATCGCGAAATGGTCCTTTTGGAATATATTTTTTTCCCGGAGTTAGTTTCATTAAAATCGAAATAATATTACATTTAAAAAGTAGAAAAAAAACTAATTCAATAGAAACAAAGTAATAAGTGTCCGCAAAAATCGCGCGTTTTTGATTCCGCGATTTTGAAATTGCGAATTCCTGAATTGTGTGCCAAATGATGACATCAATCACAAGAAATTGTTAAGCTGAGCCGAAAGTTGGTTGAAGAAATATAGAGGGGGAAGGGTCAAAATGGTTAAAGTTCATTAAAGCGTCAGCTTATGCACTTTGAAGCACGAATTTTTATCTCAGTCCGATAATTTAGAACTTCGTATTGGAGATTTTGTTGGCTGCTGGCAACAAATTTGCACTCAGATTTTCAAAATTCAAAATAGCCGATTCAATATGATGGACCATATCTTTTAGAATGTTTCAATTTTTACAAAAAATATCTAGGGGTTTTTTGGGTGGCTGATTATAAATCTGAAGTCAGATCTTCAGAAAAAAAATGGCTGACCTAGTATGGGAGATGGACAAAATTTTTTTTAAAATGAGTCAGCCATTTTTTCCTGAAGATCTAACTTCAAATTTATAATTTTATTTATAACTTCTACAAGAAATCTCTAGATTTCTTGTAGAAGTTGAAAAATTCTAAAATATATGGTCCTTAAAACGGCCATTTCGAATCTTGAAAATTTAATTTTAAATTCGTTGTCAGCAGCCAGAACTTCCCAAATACGAAGTTTTCAATTATCAGACTGACATAAAAATTTGTGTTTCAAACGTTGGGTTGTCACATTAATAGAAAGACTTTGACATTACTTTAACTTCCCCTATCTTTAAAACCAATTCTCAGCCCAGTTTACAAATTTGTTCGTGATTGATATCTTGTCATAAGATATCATTTGGTATACAATTCAGTTCCAAAAATTGAATCGCGAAACCAAAAACGAGCGAAAAAAATCACTAATCTTGCACTTCTTTCGAGCTTCTCGAAATTTCGTATTAATATACTTTATTATGAGCAAATAAAGTTAAGCAATATGTTACTAGCTAGAATAAAGTTTCTTGCAAGTGTATGATATATTGTTTCAGACAATAAAAGCAATTTTCATTCATAAAATGATTGAAATCGAGCAGATGGGCGAACAAGGTAAAATTGGCTCGTAATTAAGGAGCAGCAAGAATCCTGTGGAAATTTCTCGCGGAGACTCCAGGACTACTAATCAGGATACATATTTTATATGAAGTCCTCTTTCCTGCGCTGCTAGAAAATTGAACCCGGTATCAGAGCAAAATGGCCACGTTGCTGCACGTTTGCATTTTGATTATTGCAAAACAAAGTACACGCCTAATGGGATCGTGACAGGCATTAACACATAGAAGTAGGTTGCCTCTATCATCATTATGCAGTCAGTCACAACAATAAATTGTCTGAGAAGCAGTAACTTGGAAACATTGAAATATAGGGCATCTAGCCCCGGTCTCCCCTACGTCCTCGATAACGACTCGCCCGAGACAGAGCACCGATCGAAATTAAATATAGACCACCCGTGGAGAACGTTCGTAGTTATTTCGCCGGTTCCCTTCTGGGTGTCCCATAAATTTCCGCGTTCCGAGAATGAAACCTTGCCATGATCGGCCGGCTAAGCGCGCGAGGCGATTTTTGTCGACAGCCGCCGCTCCGAAACTCAGCCCGATCGCGAAGCTCTTACGAATAGTAAAACCGTGATATTTCAGAGTTGTTACTCAATACCAAAACTGTCAAAGTAGCCGAAATGATGGCCTTGCAAAGTTGAAAAAACCACTCGAACTTATAACGCTTTTGATACTTTTAATCGACATTAAATGAAACTACAGAAAGTGAACACATTTTTTATGCATTATACTGATATATAAACTTCATAGTAATGTTTGATAGTTCTATTTGCATAATTTAATCAATACTTTTTAAACACAAGAATTATGTATCTTGTAACTCTTAAAAATTATTATTGCGTGTTTTTTAGTAGATTAAATTTAATAGATTTCTTTGCCTTATTTTTTCAAAACGTAGTTATTTATCGACATACCGTCGATAGTCCTACACTGAAAAAAAATATCTAAAAATTAACAAATATTCATTAGGTAAGTACTATTAACATATTTACTTAAATTAAAATTCTCTTCATTTAAACCGAGTATTGTTTATTCGGTTTAAGTAAACAATACTCGGTTTAAATGAAGAGAATTTTTATTTAAGTAAATATATGTTAATGGTACCCATCTAATAAATATTTGTTAATTTTTAAATATTTTTTCCTCAGTATAGTGTTATAAACAACGTTGGGCGTTATATTATGAAAATTTGGTCAGACTAAAATAATCAGCAAATCAATAATCGAAATGAATCAATCGTCACAAACGTAATCGCAAATAATTCAGTCGACTGATAGAATTAATTAGAAGTAATTATAATTATAATCCAATTAAAATTATTTATATTAATAATTATAAAATTATTTATATTAATAATTAATCATCAATAAATTTATTCACGATTACATACGTAACGACTTAATTTAAATTATCGATTTGCCGGTCTGAACCAACATTTTAACCGATCAATGGTCAACCACTGATTAAGAATTATTACGGTTTCTTCGTGCTCGTGTCTCGCCCGAATTTACGAACGTGCCGCGTCAGATTTTTCGCAAACACGCGGAACTGAAGGCAGCCCACACGAAGTCATCGACTCCCACGTCGCGAACGCGACACGTGCATAAAGAGGTAATCGGGGCGCATTCTTGCACGTGTGCGTGCATGTCTAGAGCCACACGTGTGATTAAAGCATTCCCGGAAATCGACCGCGTACGCGAAGGAGCGAAGCCTCTGCAAATAACGAGAGCGCGTGCCACGATTACTTATATTCGTCGCGCTTGGCAAGACGAATGCCGCGCACGATTACGTATGTCCTGCACCAAAGTTTGCCTTGCCGCTTTTTGCATTTGTTGTTGCCGCACTCCGCGCGGCTGAGTGACGGACGAGAGGGGAGGGGGGGAGGACGGGCGATGAGAAAAACAATCAACGTTAAAATAAACCGTGATCTAATGTCAACAACGGGACAGCGACATTTCAATTCTCAAGTGGCACTACGTATCCGTCCAATCGATATCCGATAACGATGGTATACTAGGAAAGGTACGTGCAACGTACCGTCACCGAAAAAATCGAACAGATATCTAAACAGATATTTCTTCTCAATTACATCTATGAGCCAAATACACTGCGCTCAATTGACTATTAAGTTACATCATTAATTATCATTAAGTATATCGACCAATAATGTAAATTTTCCGTTATTAATGCAGCAACAAATTTGCTGAAAGTTGCTTGTTACATTCAGATTTTTTTATTTTTACATGACTGTCATCTTTTTCGTATTCCTCTCTCGTTGTTATATGTGATAAGAACGAGTGCTGCATGAATCACTCGTAAGGGACACAAGTTTTACAAACTGACGCAATATTACGTCGCCGAAAAAATCAAACACATTCAGATAGATAGCTAATAGATGACAGAAACTCTAGAATTTTTTCAATTACATTTATATACTTGCCAAATATACTTGAATATTGAACTGACCATTAAGTCTACATCGTCTAATAATGTTAATTTCCTGTTACGTTAACGTAAAAACAAATTTGCTAAAAGTTACATTTACAATTTCACATTACATTTTATACCGTATATCTTTTTTGTATTTCTATTTCGTCAATAAGGTGACAGTCCCAATTATAGATAGTTTCAATTTTGGGCTAAACTTTGGTTTGTTAACGTATTAAAAAAGCGTATATTACAGTGAAAAAACACGGAAAAACTTTTTATATTCCTTAATTCTTTTGCAATTACATTCTAAAGTTATATACACAAATATTCCTAATGTTAAAAAAATGTAGGATATCAATTGCTTTACCGACTCTTTAGATTTATCAGACTGCTGATGTTGTGTGCTGCGTACACCATTATTCTATACAGACCAAAACAATGAATGTGAACATTATTAATATAAAATTGGGCGCGTGAATAACGTATAACACATTATATAAACGCGTAATATTTGCTGACCCATAACTGGAACTTATGGATAAATGGTTCTTGTAATTAAATTTTTTTAATTTAGGATAAACTAACTTAAAGTCTAACAATTTTGTTTCAAAACTATGATGTATTAATTGCTTATATTGGTATCAACAATTCGTTTGGATGTTCAACAAATTTATGTAAACGATTGAAAGATTGTAATTATATTTTAAAGTCGCAACACTTTGTGAATCGATCATGTATCTATTTTTTTCACGCAAGTTTTTTTTTAATTCGTCAATAAAACTCACTTTCCACAAATTTGCGCGAAAAAAATAAATA